ATTAGGATGTTTTTGACAATTGAGTGAATTTTGATTGGCAGAATTTTTTTTCTTTCTTTTTGAGTCACAGTCTCACTCTGTTGCCCAGGCTGGATTACAGTGGCACGATCTTGGCTCACTGCAACCTCTGCCTACTGGGTTCAAGCGATTTTCCTGCCTCTGCCTCCGGAGGAGCTGGGATTACAGGCACACACCACCATGCCCAGCTCATTTTTTTTGTATTTTTAGTAGAGATGTGGTTTTGCCATGTTGGTCTAGCTGTTCTGGAACTCCTGACCTCAGGCGATCCACCTGTCTGGGCCTCCCAAGGTACCAGATTACAGGTGTGCGCCACTGTGCCAGCTTTTTATCTTAGTGGTACCTATCTAGACTAATGACATCTTAGGCTGTATAAAATATTGTGAATTAAAAACAGTTCCCAGGGTGGGCACAGTGGCTCACACCTGTAATGCCAGCACTTTGGGAGGCCAAGGCAGGCAGATCACCTGAGGTCAGGAGTTCAAGACCAGCCTTGGCAACATGGTGAAACCCCATCTCTACCAAAAATACAAAAATTAGACAGGCATGGTGGTGCGCACCTGTACTCTCAGCTACTTGGGAGGCTGAAGTGGGAGGATGGCTTGGGCCCAGGGGGTGTTGATTGCAGTCAGCCAAGATTGCGCCACTGCACTCTGGCCTGGGCGACAGAGCCAGACTCTGTCCCAACAAAACAAAACAAAAACACCAGTTCCCTACTCTCTTTCCAACTACATTGCTGACCCTACGCTCAACTTACCTAGAAATTCTGCATTCAGCCTTCCTCATATTTATCTTCTCCTAAGGAAAAGTTAATTTCTAAACCAAGAGTTCAGACACAAAATGTGATTCTGAACACCATTGTTCTTTGTCAAAAGTTACTCCTTTAGCCATATATAGGTCTATGTAGTCTGTGTTTTGCCAGAGATCAAATCTCTGTTAATCTGTGGGGGTTCACGCCTGTTATCCCAGCAGTTTGGGAAGCCGAGGCAGTTGCATTACTGGAGTCCAGGAGTTTGAGACCATCCTGGGCTACATGGCAAAACTGTCTCTAGAAAAAATACAAAAATTAGCCGGGCATGCGTGTGCCTGTAGTGCCAGCCACTGGGGTTGGGCGGTGGGAGTGTCAACAGGCTGAAATAGGAGGATCCCTCCAGCCTGGGAGGTCAAAGTATAGTTCGGGCCACTGCACTCCAGCCTGAGCATCAGAGTGAGACCGTATCTCAAAAAAGAAAAAAGAAAAAGAAATTGTTAATTATTCAAATTGTTTAGAATCAGAATGCAGCTCTATGCCAAGGAGCCCGCTTGGGAACTCCAGGAGCACAGAGACCATCCAGCGGAACTAAACAATGCCAGGTTTTTAAGACCTGTCAGTTAAAACTTTTCCACCATCCATTCAGGGTACTGGTGGTCTGAAACAATGGAATCATCAACGGCAGCGTCCCCAAACACCTCCGTCATACATTCAGGAACGCTGCCGCTTTTGACAAAGAACGCATTCAACGCATAGAAAGCCTGCGTGCGGGGAGGGTTCGGGGCTGGTTTCGAAGTGCGGTCAGGTGGTCTGTGCGCTAGCGTTGCGCGCTGGACAGATCCAAGGGCAGTAGAGGGGCCGTTCCCCGTGTCCCTATGAAGACAAAGATCTCTTGTCCCTCAACACTAGACCCGACCAAGGTTAAGACACAGAGGCAGCGATAAGGGCGAGGGTGGGCAGGGGGCTAGGGAAAAGGGGCTGGCGAGGGGTCGTTCCAAATTTGGCATATCCCTTCCACCCGTAGGTAAATGGCCCTCAGATGAGATCCATTCCCTCCCGCGGGTCGGGGCCTCCGACGTAACAGAGCCTGCGCCAGGGTCTGAATGCTGACAATGGCCTGGGGGCTGGCGTCCTGGGCACTGGGCCTCTTACCAGCAGCTCGAGCGGGGTGTTTGTCACTGTTACGATGTTGTCCTTGTTCTCCTCTTCCTCTTCTTGTCCCTTAAATTGTTCCTTCTGTTTCTTTGTCTCCTTCCCTTGCTCTGTCCTCCTTTCCCTTTTATCCTCTTTTCTCTTACTCCTCTCCTGCTTCTCTTGCTTCTCCTTTTCTTTTTCCTTAATTTTCTGCTCCAACTCCTTTCTTTTGTCTTCCTTTTCCTTTTCTCTAATTTTCTCCTTCTCCGTCTCCTTTCCCTTCTCTTTCTTCTTCACTTTCCCTCTCTCCATCACCAGCGCCGCGGTTTCCTTCCCTCCTGCCGCGCGCCGGCGCTGAGCCGTGGCCCTGGGCCCCAGTGTGGCTCCCGCGGTGCACGCCCGGTGGAGACGTAGGCCCGGCGGCGTAGACAACCCGCTGGCGCCGCCAACCCGACACCGCCGCCCACCTCGCGGCTGGAGGGCTTCTCGCAGCCGATTCTCTGAACACGCAGGGGTACGCAGAGGAAAGGGTGGAGGTGTAGGGGATGGGGTGAGCCCAGGCAAGCGAAACCAAGAAGTGCCAGTCAGGACACGGGACAGCTCGGCGGGGCGGATCACTGCTGCAGGAAAAGCGTCCCTAGCGCGATTCCTTCCAGCCAGGCGGGGTGGCTGAGAAGCGCCTTTCAAGCGGGCCGCATCCCAAGCGACTTTAGCGCCTGACGTCTCCGGCTTCAATCCCCAGCCCGGCCAGCCTACATGAGAACCCCTGGGGCGCCAGAGTCCAGAGCTTCCTGGGAGGATTCCCAGCCCTCCCCCAGCTCGCAACCAAGAGCCTGCAATGCGAAGTCGTGTATTTCTCCGCCCTCTCCCGAGTAAGCTCCACTAGGAGGGTCTCCAGACTACTACCCAGGATTATTAGTTAGGGACAAATAGAAAGACGTGAATGGGTTCCATTAAGTTCCCGTTGTATTTTTTTTTTTTTTTTCTTTTGAGACGGAGTCTCCGTCACCCACGCTGGAGTGCAGTAGTGCGATCTCAGCTCACTGCAACCTCCCCCTCCTGGATTCAAGCGATTTTCCTGCCTCAGCCAGCCTCCTGAGTAGCTGGGATTACAGGCGTGAGCCACCACATCTGGCTAATTTTTGTATTTTTAGTACAGACGGGGTTTCACCATGTTGGCCAGACTGGTCTCGAATTCCTGACCTCAAGTGATCCACCCGCCTAGGCCTTCCAGAGTGCTGGAATTACAGGCATGAGCCACTGTGTCCGGCCTGTATTTCGCTTTCAAAAAAATTATTCAGACATAACACGCCAGGATCACAGCTGCTAGTAATGCCCGGTATTAAAACCAAAACTAAATAGTGTAGTCACTCCTAATTATTTAATAAATGGTAAATTAGGCACCCAAGGGGCTTCTCAAAGGTGGTATTGTTTCTCAAACTGGCTAAGAAATATCGGGAGGGTTCCTTTTATCTTGCTAAACTGAACTCGTTAGTATATTTCACAGTTTAGCACAATTATTTTTTTAATGTAATAAAACTTATTGTCCTTCATTATATCTGTTTCAAATAAACTCTTTTTGTTGTTGTTGTTTCAAAGAAACTTTTAAGGAATAATGAATGGCAGGTTCCGGAAGGCTTGAGTGATGCAATGTTTTTAAGGTTGGCTGTTCCCAATAGCACTGGAAATGCAGTGCTTAATCACTTTTCAAAGGTTTACTTCTGTTTATACATACACCAAGATGAATTTTCAGTCAAGTACAAAACTAATCTAATGGTGGTTCTCTCAGTCCCATTAGAGGGGCAGTACACACAAGTTTGATACTCAGCTTAAAAGAAAATTCTTAGTTATACTAACCAGTAAGTCCTCCATAAAATGCCAACACCCAAAACACCTTAATCCATATTCACTGCTAAAATATTTTATTTTAAAATGTACCACAGTGAATGGATGTATCCATACTGGTTTTTATAAATGTACACATACACATCCATATATATGACAAAGTAGATATATGCACTGGTTAAAGACCTATTCAAAAGGAAATATTAGTAGAAAGTTCATGTGTTTATACTTCATTTGACAATTAAAACTTATTTGAACCGAAGTTTCAGTTGCTCAGCAATGACTAATAATACCAATGCCTGCCAATAACGACTAAATTGATAATTGTAAATTTCACTGCTGTGCCTTGGGTCAAAATTTTCAATGATGAAATCCTAAATAAGTTACAGTTATTCCTATAATGGGGTATATATTCAGAAGGAATAAATATCTGCCACTGTTACCAAAAGATTGTTCTCTGTAGAGCTCAAAAAACTATTATGCTACAATACATCATTTGTATTTAAAAAGGATCTCTTGTTTAGATGCCACTGCAGATTCTGCTTATAATAAACAGAAAGGCAGCACCCCATTTCTTTCTTGTAAAGGAGGAAAGCCTTTTATAAAAAACTCTTTGAAGAAGTTTTGGTAGATATGTTCAGAGTCAAACACAGCAGCACTTTATTAACAAGGACAGAGTAATATAATCACAAGGAAATACTTGTAAGTCTAAATTAAATGATATCTTGGGCAGCATAAAATGAATATTAACAAGGGCAGGCATCCCAATGTATCTGTCTCACAGCTGTTCAATGTGAAAGTAGCTTGTAAGCAAGGAAAGACAAGAGCAACATTTACACCACAAATTGACTGTAAAATACTTCATTACATTGAGAAAGGTAATGAATGGTCAAATTCCATAACTAGAAAGAGACACCATTTGGGTATGTATCAATGAGCCAAACAGATCTGTTAGATTTTAATACTGCCTGGTATGCAACTCAGGTACCGATTTCCTCTTTATGTAGGAAGCCAATGTTCATGTTCTTGATAATAGTCATTAATCTTTCTGATTGAGACAGTCCAGACCCATCTGACCTCAGAACACCAGGTCTAAGAGTCAACTTCTTACAGTGATATATTTTCCTTGAGTTCGTTCATGGTACTAAATCAGTATGTTACCATAATCTGAAAATGACATAGGGCACAAAGGAGCCATATATAAATAGAAAAGTATCCCATATTCCAGTATCACATGACAGAAAATTTCAAATTTATGGTTAAAATTATTTAAGACATTTATTTTTCTTGTGGCCATTCATTTAATTAGTCGAAGAACATCAGTGTATTAAGAAGGTCCCTCTTTATCACATGATATTTCTAAGCAGATATTCTGGAATGCTCAGAAGATTCCACTTTCAGTCTCCTAAGGCCTCCTAAGACATAATTTAAAGTGGGACTTGAACAGAAGCAATTATCTTCAGACTCTAGCTGAAATAGAAGTAGTTTCTGTTTAAATCCTGGGAAACCTTAGATAAGGTTTCTGAAACTGAAAAAAGATCAAATCAGCACACACACATAAAGGATACAACAGATACCAACATGGGTAAATGCCCAGTTATTTTCAGTCCTCATAACCTGTACAAAGCTATGAGGCAACCAATAGGCAGACTTTGAGGAAGATGTTTCCCCATCTGAAACACAAGAAATTATTTATGAAAATATGGAGATGAAGAGGGAGCAGTTCTGTGCTTCTTGCTGTGTTACCTTTATTATATTCCTAGTGTCACTGAGACTAGTTTAATAACAGCCTGCAACAAGAATATTCTCATCACCAGCCACCTTTTCCACCTTTCTTCTTTTTCTGTTGCTGTTTCTTTTTTGTTGCTGGAGCCCCTGCAGGTTTCTGGTGTCTTGGGGGTATGATGTTACTTGTAGAGGCAGATACTGTTGCTGCACTGCCAGGTCTTGGGGAGGTGGGTGGGCTGCTCACAGTTTTACTGGCATCCCTGAAACCATCAGATCAGATTACTTTTTGGTCACTCATATATTCGAAAAAGGAAGAATATAAAAATGTACGTACATGGGTTTTATCACACTTAATCTCCCACGCATTTTCCACTTCTTTTAAGGTAAGTTCCCTAACTCCTTATCAACCTTTCTTTTGAATAAAATTGTTAATGTTTTTATTGAAGAAAAGTAAAACATGGTACACATGCCAATTTTTAGAAAGCTTAGAAAATAAAAAATTTTATTTTCTTTTTAGACAGAGTCTCACTCTGTTCGTCAGCCTGGAGTGCAGTGGCACCATCTTGGCTCACTGCAGCCTCCGCCTCCTGGGTTCACGCAATTCTCCTGCCTCTGCCTCCTGAGTGGCAGGGACCACAGGCGCACACGACCACACCTGGCTAATTTTTGTATTTTTAGTAAAGACGGTGTTTTACCATGTTGGCCAGGCTGGTCTCGAACTTGCAACCTCAGATGATCCACCTGCCTTGACCTCCCAAAGTGCTGGGATTACAGGTGTGAACCACTGTGCTTGGCCAGAAAATAATTTTTTTTTGAGACACTCTCACTTTGTTGCCAGGCTGGAGTGCAGTGGTACAATCTTGGCTCACTGCAACCTCCGACTCCCTGGTTCAAGCTATTCTCCTGCCTCAGCTTCCCAAGTGGCTGGCATTACAGGCATGGGTCACCAGGCCCAGCTAATTTTTGTATTTTTAGTAGAAACAGGGTTTCATCATATTGGCCAGGATGGTCTTGATCTCCTGAACTTGTGATCCACGTGCCTCAGCCTCCCAAGAGCTGGGATTACAGGCATGAGCCACCACACCCGGCCTCAGAAAATAAAATTTTAAAATAACCTATCATCCACCATGCAGAACGTATTAACATTTCTAATACTTCTAGTCATACTATATTTATTTACATCTACTTACTAGATATTTAGTTGAATGACTCAGTGTATTTAGTTCCCTTTTGAGATTTTAGTTTTTACAACTAGTTTTAAAGTTTTACTACATATATTTCACAACATATATTTGATTATATTGTGAATACTTAAAACTATTTGACTGTATTGCAAAAACTAAAGGAACTAGTCTGCAAAGGCAATGTATTTTCTTTCATTTATGTAAGTGTAGTACAAACATTTATCAAAGATATATCACTACAGTTCTTATACGTACTTAATATATATTAACAAATTCTCACTAATGGTCTTGAGTCAATCTCAGAAACAATGTACGTTCTAAGTGCCCTCAATTGTAGAGCACTAAAACTTACAGTTCAGATGAAGCTCCTGCAGTTGCTCCCTGGGTCCCTTTTCCAATCTGATCCTTCTTTTTACCCTTCTTTCTTCCCCGGTAGTAAGAACGTTCTCGCATTGGCAGCCATCTTTCTGGATCTGGGGTAACTTTTGGGTCGTAATTCTTAGGCAATTTTCCTGCATAACAATTTTAAAGAAATGAGAGATGTGTCCATTATATTTTCAAGATAATTTAAACAATGTGTCTAAGCCTGGGAATAAATAACATTAAAATTGAAATGAACTTATTTGAGACAGTTTAGTTTGTATAATCTAGCAGGGGAAAAGGCCTTATTTCTTTTTTTCTATACTTTTAAGTTCTAGGATACATGTGCAGAACATTGTTTGTTATATAGGTATACATATGCCATGATAGTCTGCTGCACCCATCAATCCATCATCTCTATTAGTTATTTCTCCTAATGTTATCACTCCCCTACACCTCCATCCCACGACAGGCCCCGGTGTGTGATGTTCCCATTCCTGTGTCCATGTGTTCTCATTGTTCAACACCCACTTATGAGTGAGGACATGTGGTATTTGGTTTTCTGTTCCTGTGTTAGTTTGCTGAGAATGATGGTTTTCAGCTTCATCCATGTCCCTGCAAGGGACATGAACTCATCCTTTTTTATGGCTGCATAGTAGTCCATGGGGTATATGTGCCACATTTTCTTTATCCAGTCTATCATTGATGGACATTTGGGTTGGTTTCAAGTCTTTGCTATTGTGAACAGTGCTGCAATAAACAAACAAGTGCATGTGTCTTTATAGTAGAATGATTTATAATCCTTTGGGTATATACCCAATAATGGGATTGCTGGGTCAAACGGTATTTCTGGTTCTAGATCCTTGAGGAATCACAACACTGTCTTACAAAATGGTTGAACTAATTAATACTCCCACCAACAGTGTAAAAGTGTATTTCTCCACAGCCTCTCCAGCATCTGTTGTTTCCTGACTTTTTAATGATGGCCATTCTAGCTGGCGGGAGACGGTTATCTCATTGCGGTTTTGATTTGCATTTCTCTAATGACCAGTAATGATGAGCTTTTTTTCATGCATCTTGGCCACATAAATGTCTTCTTTTGAGAAGTGTCTATTAATATCCTTCAATCACTTTTTGATGGAGTTTTTTCTTGTAAATTTAAGTTCCCTGTAGATTCTAGGTATTAGCCCTTTGTCAGATGGGTAGATTGCAAAAATTTTCTCCCATTCTGTAGGTTGCCTGTTCACTCTGATAACAGTTTCTTTTGCTGTGCAGAAGCTCTTTAGTTTAATTAGATTCCATTTGTCAATTTTGGCTTTTGTTGCCATTGCTTTTGGTGTGTTAGTCATGAAGTCTTTGCCCATGCCTATGTCCTGAATGGTACTGCCTAAGTTTTCTTCTAAGGTTTTTATGATTTTAGGTCTTAAAGTCTTTAATTCATCTTCAGTTAATTTTTGTATAGTAAGGAAGGAGTCCAGTTTTATTTTTCTACATATGGCTAGTGAGTTTTTTCAACACCATTTATTAAATAGTAAATCCTTTCCCCATTGCTTGTTTTTGTCAGGTTTGTCAAAGATTAGACGGTTGCAGATGTGTGGCATTATTTCTGAGGCCTCTGTTCTGCTTCATTGGTCTATGTATCTGTTTTGGTTACTGTAGCCTTGTAGTATAGTTTGAAGACAGGTAGCATGATGCCTCCAGCTTTGTTCTTTTGGCTTAGGATTGTCTTGGTGACAGGTGCTCCTTTTTGGTTTCACAGGAAATTTAAAGTAGTTTTTTCTAATTCTGTGTAAGAAAGTTAATGGTAGCTTGATGGGGACAACACTGAATCTATAAATTACTTTGGGCAGTACGGCCATTTTCACAATACTGATTCTATCCATGAGCATGCAATGTTTTTCCATTTGTTTGTGTTCTTATTTCCTTGAGCAGTGGCTTGTAGTTCCCTTTGAAAAGGTCCTTCACATCCCTTGTTAGTTGTATTCCTAGGTATTTTATTCTCTTTATAGCAATTGTGAATGGGAGTTCACTCAGGATTTGGTTGTTTGTTATTGGTGCATAAGAATGCCTGTGATTTTTGCACATGGATTTTGTATCCTGAGACTTTGCTGAAGCTGCTTATCAGCTTAAGGAGATTTTGGGCTGAGATGATGGGGTTTTCTAAATATACAATTATGTCATCTGAAAAGAGAGACAATTTGACTTCCTTTCATCCTATTTAAATACCCTTTATTTTATTCTCTTGCCTGATTGCACTGGCCAGAACTTCCAATACTACGTTGAATAGGAGTGGTGAGAGAGGGCATCCTTGTCTTATGCCGATTTTCAAAGAGAATGCTTCCAGCTTTTGCTCATTCAGTATGATATTGGCTGTGGTTTGTCTTAAATAGCTCCTATTACTTTGAAACAGGTTCCATCAATACCTAGCTTATTGAGAGTTTTTAGCATGAAGGAGTGTTGAATTTTATTGAAGGGGGAAAAGGCCTTATTTCTAAGCATGAAAAAGAAATTCAGAGGCCATAAAGAAAGACTTCACAGATACACATACAAAAATTTTAAAATTTTCAATTAGTAAAAAATATATTTCTAAGAAAAATTTAAAAGACAAACTATATAATAGAGGAGTGGATAAAAATCCTTAAGATAAAATTCTTGCTGATCAATATGTAAATCACTCAAAGAAAAACGGACTCAGTTATAATTAAGGTATGCCAGGAGAAAGGAAAGTCATTCATTTTCTGAATAGATGTTCACCCTCATTAACTAAAAATGAGAAGGGTAAAAAACCCCATCAGACTTATAAATATTAAAAGCAGTAATACCCAGTGTTGGTGAAATGGTGAGAAGCACTCACCAACACCACACTAGGGGAAGTGTATGCTGATATATAGCCTTTGTGGAGAGCAATTTAATCTGGCAGTGTCATTCAAAATTTATAGACTTCTAGAAATTTATCCTGCAGAAACCCAAAGTATACAAAGTTACAGAATGTTCTCCGTGATATTTTTTCTTTTCTTTTTTTTTTGTTTAAAGTTGGATGGGGGAAAAAAAAAAACAAGAAAAAGAAAAAAAAATAAAGTTGGATAGGGCAAGGTATGGGTGGGCTAATATTCTTTAAGATAGCAAAATAACTTAAATATCTATTACATTATAATAAGTCCACACTATGTATAGCAAGCTATACAATTGGGATAAAAAGTGAAGTGCATCTATAATAATTTGCAACAACTGGATTATTCTTCACAATCCAGTCTAAAATAGAAGATTCAAACAAATTATATTATGTTCATAACAATTTTATAAAAACTTTGAGTACCTAATGATGTAATTATATATTTGATTCTATATATACAAAAATACACATACACAAGTTAATTGTCTCTGGGAGCATACTCCCTCCTGAGTAGCTGGGATTATAGGTGCACAGGACTACCACCCGTCTAATTTTTGAATTTTTAGTAGAGACCGGGTTTCACCATGTAGCCCAGGCTGGTCTTGAAGTCCTGACCTCAAATGATCCATTTGCCTCATCCACCCAAAGTGCTGGGATTACAGGTGTAAGCCACCAAGCCCAGCTGGGAGCATGAATTTTGAGCAGGTAATTTCGCTCTCTTTATGCTATTCTATAATAACAGATATAAACTCCCTTTGTTTTCTTTTTTTTACAATAATCATACCTCACTTGTAAATTTTAAAAATATTCATCTGGAAACTACAGAAGTAGAAAAGAAAGTAAAGTTTTAGGTTATTACTACCTACAGTTATCAGCTGTTTCCTCACAGTATTACTAATACACAAATATTAAATATTTGCCAATTTTCAAGTACTGTGACAAAAGAACCAACAAGACTTCTAGCTAGACAGTGAAGTGAATACAAACATTAGCTTGTGTACCCTCCTCGAACTCCACTAAAATGGTAATAAACTCCTAGAAGAACAGGAGAAAAGATATTTTGGTAGCTGGAAAACAGATGAAGGAGTGGTAATAAACTTAGCTTAGACTTGAGAAACCTGTATCCTAAGATGGCAGGGAGCAAAATCAAGAAACAACCTAATTTATATCATAGATTCCTCAAAAACTGAGGAACTTGGGTGGCTCCAAGGATTACCTCTGACTAGGTAAAACAAAGCATGGTAATGCCACCCAATGTTGCCAGAGATTAAAACCACACCCTAAGCCAATCAATGCATGTTATTTTTCTGGTTAATAATTCAAGGCTGAATACTGACCTAGTTAGCCCAATCAGATTAATGAAAAATACTTGCGAAGTCTGGAGAGGCCTTCTTTGTTGTGATGGTTATAAATGACAAGTATATGGCCCTGACTGTTTCCAGTATACACTGCATGACTCTAATGGGATTCTGTTTTATGGACAGCAGAACAAAGTGATACAAATACTGAATCCACCAACCTTGATGCTAACATTCCTCCAGTCTGCCAATTTTGTAAACAGTAAATTTTCTTAAGCCAGTTTGATGGAATTTTGTAGTATGTGTAGCAGAAACATCATAATGAGTACTTTTGTCCCAGGCACAACTCTAAGAACTTTACATGTAGTATCTCATTTCATATTACAAGGTATAAACTATCATATTTCATTTTACATATGAATAACTCTGGCAGGTATGTTAAATAACCTGTCCACAGTCACACAATAAAAGTGTGTTAGAGCAACAATTTGAATTTAGGCAAACTGGTGAACTGCAATCTTTAAAGTAATAGAATAAAATTAAATGTTAGCTGTAGTCAAGATAAAAAGTTTTCAAAGATATAAGAGAGGGCAGTATATTTATGTACAAGTATTTCTACATAGGGCTAAAATCAAACAATTATCTTGTAGAAAGAAATCTATATGAAGACTTTTTTTAATGCCTTACCCTTCTTTTTCTTTTTCTTCTTTTTCAAATCTCCCTGTCTACGAAGAGAAAAAAAAAATCATTACCATCTTTGTGATAAAATATTTATAGAGCATTAAGTAAGTGCTCTATAAAACAGTTAGCTGGGCACTTATCATAAACATGGGTGAAGTTTTGGTATCAGCTCACCAAGCTAACAAACAAGTTAAGATTTAAGATTTGATTCAGGTTAAAGTCAATTAAGCTTTAGATACTATAATTTTTGGAAGGTAGTTTAGAAAACAGAGGTGACAATTTGAAAACAGATTCGGTTTACATGGAAAAAAGTTTGTCAGTGGCACATATTAAGTCTATGTAAAAAGTAATTTGCACAAGCATGTATATCTATAATCCCTTGGTAAGTTACTCTACTTTTGGCAAGACTTTAGGGAATAAATTTTTTTGCCAGAAGAATATGTATAGGTAAAATACATGCAAAGAACATCTCTGGAAGGAGATGCAAAACAAGTTACATTTGTTATGGCCCTGGGAGGGAAGAGGGTAGATAAAGATGCAAGACTTTTTACTTCCTCTTACACTTTATCTTTTGTATTTTAAAACTGTGTTTATTAATTTTTTATATAAGTAAAATCCATAAGTACACTGACCAAAAAAGGTACTGAAAGGGCATAAAAATAAGCACTTCAAAATAATTGTCAAGCATTCTGAAAGTGGCTTGGTGCCACTTCTGTAATCCCGGCACTTTGGAAGGGAGGCTGCGGCCTCTCTGAAGTCAGAAGGGATCTCCTGAAGTCAGAAGTTCCACACCAGCCTGGCCAACATAGTGAAACCCCGTCTCTACTAAAACTACAAAAATTAGCTGTGTGTAGTGGCACGTGCCTGTAAGCCCACCTACTAGGGAGGCTGAGGCAGGAGAATCGCCTGAACCCAGGAGGCGGAGGATGCAGTGAGCAAGATCACGCCACAGCACTCCAGCCTAAGCAACGGAATGAGACTCTTAAAAAAAAAAAAATTCTAGCCGGGCGCGGTGGCTCAAGCCTGTAATCCCAGCGCTTTGGGAGGCTGAGGCGGGTGGATCATGAGGTCAAGAGATCGAGACCATCCCGGTCAACATGGTGAAACCCCGTCTCTACTAAAAATACAAAACATTAGCTGGGCATGGTGGCGCGTGCCTGTAATCCCAGCTACTCAGGAGGCTGAGGCAGGAGAATTGCCTGAACCCAGGAGGCGGAGGTTGTGGTGAGCCGAGATCGCGCCATTGCACTCCAGCCTGGGTAACAAGAGCGAAACTCCGTTTCAAAAAAAAAAAAAAAAATTCTGAAAGCTCTAGTAAGAGAAAGACATAAAAATATATATTTCTTTATATACTCTTATGTGATATAACTAAAGAAATATTAAACAGTGAAATAAAAACATGAGACAGCAACACTTTCTATCAAAAATTCACTCTACAAGTCATTCAATTGTGAAAGTTCTCTTAGGATACCCCAAATAAGAAATGGTGTATCTGACTTGACTGTTTCATCTCTTACCCAGACTGTGTAATAGTATTCTTTTAATTGTCTTCCCTACAAATTACACTCCACAGCCATACTAACATTTCCCAAGGGTATTCTGCCACTTCTTATTTCTTTGCCTTTGCTCACCCTTTGCCTCCCTTGTCCTCCTCATCTTCCTCAGAGTCAACACAATCATGTTCTCTGTGAAGCCTTTCCCAACTTCCCACTGTCCTCAGGAAGACCTGACTATTCCCTTTGGTATACTCCTCTATGCCCTGTACAATTACAACAGGTGTAACCTTTATTGAAGTTACTGTTTAAATATATTATTTCCTTTTGCTAGACTCAAGTTCTTTTTTTTTTTTTTTTGAGGGAGTCTTGCTCTGTCACCAGGCTGGTGTGCAGTGGTGCGATCTTAGCTCACTGCTACCTCCACCTCCTGGGTTCGAGTGATTCTCTTGCCTCAGCCTCCTGAGTAAGTGGGATTACAGGCATGTGCCACCACCCCAGCTAATTTCTGTATTGTTAGTAGAGATGTGGTTTCACCATGTTGTCCAGGCTGGTCTCGAATTCCTGACCTCAAGTGATATGCCTGCCTCAGTCTCCCAAAGTGCTGGGATTACAGGAATGAGCCACCACGCCTGGCCTCAAATTATTTTGAGAGCAAGGACCATGATTTATTTTCTGGTCAACACCTCACATAAACCTATCACATAGTGTATTGTTAAAAGAAACTAATAAAACTTTGCATCTAAAATTTAGTATAACAAAATACTAACTTTTAATAAGAACAAAGAGCATTAATAATATCTAATGAAAATACTGTGCTGAAACTTAAAAGTTTAAAAAGTCAATGTCTTTCTTAATGATTGTCTAAGAAAAAAGAGAAGATTTTTTAAAACTTTTAAAAAACCATTATTATTATTTTTAGAGACGGGGGTCTTGCTCTTATCACTCAAGCTGGGGTGCAGTGGGGTAATCATAGCTCACGGCAGCCTCAAACTTCTGGGCTCAGGTGATCCTCCCACCTCAGCCTCCCAGTAATTGGGACTATAGTTAAATGCCACCATGCCAGGCTTAAAGGAGGAACTGTGTGTTCTTAGTAGCTACGCAACCCTGTTTGGTGGAGAAAAAAAATAGTAAACATATTTAAATAGTTATAATTGAAAATCCATTTAAGATCCAGACTGAATTTATAATTTTATAAAATGGAATTTAAAACAATGTAACCTATTTGAGACTCCAATTCCTTATTAAAGGTTTTAGTAGTTATTATGAGAGTGATAATGCTTTTTATGAAATGCAGTTTGTTATGAAGAAATCAATCGTTGCTGTATTTTTTTTAAGTTCGGAAAAAATTTAGATATCAAAAGGCATTCAAAAAAGGAGAAAGTAGTAAAAACTTACAAGAGTCACAAAACTAAGTAAATGTTTTATCTTTTCCATGCTCTATTCATTCTGCGTCAAAAGTAAAACCTTAAACATTTTACCGTAGGTCTCTGCTAACTGTATTTTTAAGATGACAATGTAAGAAACAAGGCAAGAGTAAAAATCTGACTTGTTAGTAAATGAAATCGACTTTTTCTTCAAATCAGCAAAATAAACTATATACTAAATGACGTACTAAATGTACAATAAATTACAAGTAAAGGAAGGCACATCCAGCCTATGACATGTTATGCATAATAAAGAGGAAATATGCCTACATTTTAGTTCATGGAAAGATCTCTAAAACTCATTAAATAAAAGCAAGTTAGAAAACACCAAGTACAATACAACCCTCCTTATAAAAAGAACAACTAGGCGTGGTGTCCAGCACTTTGGGAGGCTGAGGTAGGTGGATCACTTGAGATCAGCAGTTTGAGACCAGCCTGGCCAACAGGGTGAAATCCTGTCTCTACTAAACATACAAAAATTAGCCGGGCATGGTGGTGCATACCTGTTGTCCCAGCTACTCAGGAGGCTGAGGAAGAACTGCTTGAACCTGGGAGGTGGAGGTTGCAGTGAGCCAAGACTGTGGCACTGTACTCCAGCCTGGGAGACAGAGCAAGTCTCTGTCTCTGTCTCAAAAAATGAATAAATGAATAAATAAATAAATAAATAATAAATCTAGAGAAAGTATTTGAGGCTAGGCGGCTCACGCCTGTAATCCCAGCACTTTGGGAGGGCAAGGCGAGGAGATCAGGAAGTCAGGAGTTCAAGACCAGCCTGGCCAACACAGTGAAACCCCATCTCTACTAAAAATATAAAAATTAGCCGGGCATCTGTAATCTCAGCTACTCAGGAGGCTGAGACAGGAGAATCATTTGAACCCAGGAGGTGGAGGTTGCAGTGAGCCAAGATTGCACCATTGCACACCAGCCTGGATAACAGGGCAAGACTTCATCTCGAAAAAAAAAGAAAAGAAAAGAAAAAGAAAATATTTGTAAACCACTTGTGTGTATAAACACAAAGAAAAACTTCTGGAAGAATACATTAAATTAATACCAGAGGTTAATTTTGGGCTGAAGGAAAAAGGGAGGAAATAAGGACAAAGAGCTGGGTACAGTGAAAGAAAAGGAAAAGAAACAAAGAGAACCATAACTTTATTCACATGGAATTTTTATGAGAATGTATATTTTATTCTTTGTCTAATGCAAAATGAGCATTAGAGAACGTTACAATGAAAAACATACCCTTGTTCCTTTGGTTGACTATCTCCGGTAACTTTTCCACCCTTCTTCCGAATGTATGTAGCACCAGGAGAATTTTCAAGAGCCTCAACATCTACTTTGAGAGACATACTATCTGACGATGGCAAGTGTTTACTAAGACTGTGATAGAACAGGAGTTCAGGAACATAAGATACACACACACATTTATATAGATGTCTATGTCTGCCAATATAGCTATTGAAACTGGAAGACTGTCTTTTCTTGATGACCTTCAACAAAAGCAAAAATTTTTGTAAATCTTCTATACAATAACAATTGCAAGTCCTATCAATACAGTATTCTGAAAGGAGACATGAAGTGTTATAATCTAATCCTCTGTTACTTAACTCAGTGATGTGGAGCAAGGTGGTGGATTAATACAAACTCCATTCCAAAACAACTATCAAGTTTACGACTTGTGACTGCTTAGCATCCACCAACCCACCACAGTTTCAGGAACACACACTGATTACATTAGCACATATGATCCAAGCTGAATCAGGGCACTGAATTCGTTTATCATGTAACTGCCTGAGACAAGCAAGTGACCTAAGTAGTTGAATCCGAAAATAACATTTCAGAATCACGTGAAACTACCCACAAAAAGTATGCTTTTTCTTTTCCTTGCTGCTGAACTCGAACCTGAAAGAAGAGAGACTATACCCTTTTGACTTCATTTTTGCTTCTGGATGAAACTAAACCCCAAGTTGGATCTATTGCTGCATTTTTCAATCACACTGATCAATAAATTCTCGTTTTTGGTTTTACTACTTAAAAGGAGGGTTTGTTAGTTACAATTTACAACTGAAAAAGCTCTGGTCAAAACACAGATACTAAAAGAGACCTACCAGGCTACTGAGGAGCTGTATGGAACTGTATAGAACAACAACCAAAAGGATACGCTTTGGCTTTCTCTGGATCTACAAGTGAGTAGGCAGAAATAAGCTGTGCAAGGGTGTGAATATCTTTTGGATTTTGTCTAAAAGAAGAAATAAGAAAATTACTGAACAGTTTATAAAACTGGAGAAAGTAATATAAACAAGTAACTCCCTCATATCAACTAGCAACAATAAATGTGTTATTTCTACATGTCCACATTTTAGAGCTTACTTCCATAGCTGTTCTAGGTCACTAATTGCCTCCTTCTTCCGCCCATATTTGAGTTTGAAGTTTGCAGCTTCTCTTATCAAGGACAAATGAGCAGCAGATTTGGGCTACAGTTTCAATAAAGAGGAAAAAAAAGTTTCAAGCTAAACGTCTAGCAAGTAAATGCAGTTATATTCATTAGACCTTTAAGAAATACACCTATGCATTAGATTGCTCATCTTAAGTTTCATTGAATGCCTAAAACAACAAAATCATTCACATATGTGCAGGAAAGCAGATGGACAAATTATCAATTGTACAAGTAATCATCAATTGATGAATTTGGAAAACAACCTATCTCTATTTAGGGTATCTACAACTGGAAACATAGCCCTATAATAATCAAATCTTAAAGATATGCCACCATCATTCTCAAACATTAATTTAATATAATACTTTCCCAGAGCACTGATGCCCCTCCACTGCTAACAGTACTAACAATATAAATGCCACCTGTGCGTATGTATATTTGTAAGTTGGATACTGCCCATGCAGAGATCCATACTGGAAATAAAGATATTCCTACTAGATAGAGACATGATAAACAACTATTCCATGTATTACTGTTGTGCTACTACCACTCATGGACTCTCTAGCTATTTAGGATGAGCTCTTAAAAATGCAATCATGTACTATTACTATCCTTATTCTTGAGATTATATACACAAATGCATGTAAACATACAGTAAGGTGCTTCAATAAACATAAATAAGCTATTTCTTTTTTCTATTTGCAGCCATTGCTTACTTCTAATAACTTAATTTGGATCTGGTATACTGAAAAAAATGAACTTGATAGTCTAAATGGTATTTCACTTTTGAAACAGTGAGGTGTAATACTTCAGTTTGCCTAAAATTGTTCACTACTACATCTTTATTTTTAGGTAAAAACATGCCTTCATAACATTTTACTCCACCTATTTACCTGATGGCTTTGATACCACTGGATAGCTTGTGTGAAGACCTCAATGGCACTATCAATATCTTCTTCATGACTATACATGGTCACTAATGCAGATACCTACACAGCCAAAGGTATAAATCAGTGAATTCCCCCTTCACTCCCAGAATACCATGTTCGAAAATAAAAAACACTGAAGAAATAGCAAATAAAGGCCGCTAGTATCTGATTTATCATAAAAACTACTCCCTTTAGAGAACATCGTCCCTTTACTTCTAGAAATACCATGAACAACGGTGTTTTCCAAATATGAAGGTAGTTATCTGTAAAATAAACCTTTCCTTAAAGCAGTGCCAGTTCACAAATGGTTTGGTAAGTACAGAAGTTGAGAATAAGCCCTTAGAAATGTTTATACAATAAGACACTGCTGGACATTCAATGTACGATCAGTGAGGTATAAACAGAGTGGCTGAACTCTCATGATGAATCCCACACGGCCTAAGTTGCTTCAAGCCAGTAAGAAAGTTGCCTAGTGTGGCTGAGGGACAGGAAGGAGGCATATACAGCTGAAGTGGATGGGGAGGGGAATGATGAGCAGTAGGAATAGGATAGAAAAAAAAAAAAAACAAAAAAGCTGGATCTTTAAGAAAAATCAGTAAAACTGCCAGGTGTGGTGGCTTAAGCCTGTAATTCCAACACTTTGGGAGGCTGAGGTGGGCAGATCACCTGAGGTCTGGAGTTCAAGATCAGCTTGACCAACATGGAAAAACTGTCTCTACTAAAAATACAAAATTAGCCGGGCGTGGTGCGGCATCCCTATAATTCCAGCTACTCAGGAGGCTGAGGCAAGAGAATTACTTGAACCCGTGAGGCGGAGGCTGCGGTGAGCCGAGATCACACCATTGCACTCCAGTCTGGGCAACAAGAGTGAAACTCCATCTCATAAAAAAAAAAGAAAAAAGAAAAAAGAAAACTTAGGAAAATAGATAAACCTCTGGACAGGCTGATCAGAGGGAAAAAGAAAAAAAGAGAAGACATGAGCCACCAATATCAGGAATAAAAGAGGTTCTGAAGATATAAAAAGGGTAATAAATAAATAAAATGAAAAACTTTTACGCTAATAAAGTCAGCAACCAAAATGAAATGGATAAATTCCTTGAAAGGTAAAATAAGGCTATATATTAAATACTAGAAACATTTTATTTTCAGTTATATACTATATTTGACTCTAAGGTAAAGTAATTGTAGCACGATCCTTTAAATATGAATCTTCAAGGGAAAGCACTACCATATTACTACACTAACTGAGTGCCGACTGCACATAAGCCATGTTAGAGAACACAAACATGCATAAAACAGTCCCTGACCAAAAGATGCACATACTGTCACTACAGAATTAGTTTCTACTATGGAAAAGATGCTTTTACAGCTATATTAGTGATTGAAACCTGTGATATTTGAATAATCAGAAAACTAAAAACTCAATTTGTTAGCTACTATTATGAAATTGTTTTAATTTAAAGAAATCATACTGATGAAAATGGTAAAGGCTAAGAAATTCCCTATACAGATCTGAGATTATTTGAGGTTGGCTTTCAGTGATAATATAAGGCCTAAATAATGCCTGGCACATTTGACTGAATAACAAACCAATACCAGAGCAGAGAATAAAATTAAATTTATACCAGACAACTATTCCTATTATAACTACTACTCCCATGCCTTATGAACATAAAAGGATATAAGTAGAAATTAAAGTGAATACACATTAGACATATAAATAATCAGTTCAACTACTTTGCAATTTTATAATGTTTTAAACTCACCATGCCTGGTTTATGATTTAACTCCTGTATGCTTCTCAATATTAGACATGCTTTAGAAATATTACCTTAGGAGGGTAAACAAAATCAGCATTACATGGAAGAAAACATATTATGAAAAAAAAAAAAAATTTTACTTCCTCCCACTACTTTTCCTTAGGAAAGCAACCATAAATCATATTTTGTAACATCTCTAAATATATAAGCTTTGGGGTCTTGGGGATGGTGAACTCTATTCATTTACAGATAGGGAAATTGAGTTCTAAAGAAATAATATACCTTGCTTTAGCTCACAAAGAAAGTTAATGGCAGAGCAGCTACCAGAAAAGAAGTCTCCCAATTCCCAGTCTGCTGAGTTCTATTTCTTCTTTTTCGGACTGTAACTTGAAGGTGGGGGTCCTTCCCTAAAGGCCTTGAAATATGTTACTGTCGATATGAGTGCAATGGAAAATTTCCTATGGTGTTAAATTCTGATTTTGTACTCATTGCAAACCTCAATAATTCAAAATTCCCAATCTTTAAAAACAAACAAAAAAATCATTGACAGACTCTCAGTAATTTCAAGATAATAAATAATCCTTGCAAAAACAAACACAGGAGGAAAAAGATCAAGGAAAGGACAAGGAAGAGAAGACAGAGGGCTGAGGAGAAGGAAAAAGAGAGGTAAGTAAGGAAAATAAAGAAATGTGAGAACTGTCCAATACGTTAGCCCCTAGCTGCATATAGCTACTAAGCTTCTAAGACATGCCTAGCATAATCGAGGAATGAATTTTAAATTTCATTTAATTGATTTAAACTTAAAATAGTTGTATGTGGCTAGTGACTACCAAGGTTGGATCAAAACCGCAGACAAAAACATTGGCAGTTTTTATTTAAGATTTAAACACATCAGTTCTCATTAAATTCTACTACCTTTCCCCAAGCCCAAAGACATAGGTGGCAAAGTGTAAAATAAAGGATAAAGGGCCAAGCTAAGAAATTCTGAAAATTATGATGCAAAGTAATCATACAGGCATAAACATTTCTGCATGTGACACACTCAGGCAATCTGAGTGGTATGTATGGTCTTTTGGAACAGAGGAATCCTTTGCTTCAGAACTTTGAAGACATGGATTGAAAATCATTCTAACAATTTAGGAATAATCCAAGAAAAGGGGAATTACCTCACTACTAAATCTGTTGGAGATCATACAATCTAGCTGTATGTTTGAAACAGTGATTATACTTTAACATTACACAAAAAACTTAAAACCACATAGTTCACAACTACAGAAGCATTTCAACCATGTTTTCATTAAAATGATATTTTAAGCATGATGAAAACCACCAGTAATACCTTGAGAAATTTTCAACTGTGCCATGGTCAGCTTAATTTCAGCTGCATTTTCTGGATGCTGATCTGAAAATTCCTAAATTTTTTCAGTTCGGGGGGGAAAAAAAATCACATTTAATTTACACAACTAATTGTACACATTACAATTACTTAACTTGGCTACATAAAATTTTAAATCCAGTTTTAAAATATTCTGGCTGCAGATCAAAATCTTAAGTTGGGAAAATTTTTATTCAACATCTTTTTTTAAAAGGTATGCTCTAAAAGTAACTGCAATAATGTCAAGTTTTCTGTACGTCACTAACAGAGAAATGTGTCATCCCTCAGCATTGGAATGGGGTATTGCTTCCAGAACCATCCCCCATTCCAAAATCCAAGGATGCTCAAGCCCTTTATATAAAAGTACAGTGTTTGCGTATAATCTACACACATCCTCCTATACATTTTAAATTATCACTAGATTACTTGTAATACCTAACACAATGTAAATGCTATGTATATAGTTGTTGTATTACCCAGGGAATAATGATTTTTTAAGTCTATATATGTTCAGTACAGAGGCAATCATGCATTTTCCCCCCCAAAATGTTTTGTTTCTTTTTCTGAGGTGGGGTTGAGTGTAGTAGCATGATCTCAGCTCACTGCAACCTTCTCCTGCCAGCTTCAAGTGATTCTCCTGCCTCAGCCTTCCAAGTGGCTGGAATTACAGGCACGCAACACCACACCCAGCTAACTTTTTTGTATTTTTAGTAGAGATGGGGTTTTGCTGTGTTGGCCAGGCTAGTCTTGAACTCCTGACCTCAGGTGATCCGCCTCCCTGGAATTCCCAAAGTGCTAGGATTACAGACATGAACCACTATGCCTGGTGATTACCACAAAATGTTTTTAATCCATAGTTGGTTGCATTCTTGGATGCAAAATTCAAGGATACAAAGGGTCAACTGTAATAAAGATCACTAAACAAATTTTTTTTTTTGGCAGGGGGCAGTGTCTCTTCACTGAGTGTCCTTGTTAGGCAATTTTGTCTGTCAGGATGATCCCAATTGTACCTGTCCAACTTTCCAATGTAGTTTATATTCAGGAAATTTAAATATGCAATATAATAGCTGGTTTGGGTTGATGAAAACAAAGTATCTCCATAATCGAGGTTCTGGAGTGGAACGCAGTGGAGATGAAACTACTGAAAAAGAGGTTAAGCATGTTCTGGTATCAGTAAACCTAAAACAATCCCCTAACTCAGTTTAAATAGATCTCCAAACAAAACAGCATTCTTCAGCATTTATGACAAAATATCAACATTATACAAATTTATATAAAACAAAGCTATAGCCCAAGAGTTAACTAAAATGACACTGGAATTTGTGTAGTGGTACATTTCCGATTAGTTTTCCCATTACGTTTACATGCTTGTAGATTATTACAGCACGATGAAAATGTAACAAGGCTGCAAATGCCTGACACTTTCAAGTAATTTATTTTACCTGAAGTAGCTCGATTGCTTTTGTGTGCTGCTTTTCACGGCAGAGCTGGGCAGCCTGGATTAACACAGGTAAGAGATGCTCAGGACTCTGGGACTGTAAACTGGCAGATATTCTGCGGCATTGTTCAGCCTAGAAGATACCCAACCCCCATAACAACAGTAAACTGGTTAATGAAATTAAACAGTAAATGACCAAAAAGAAAATAAGCATGGGAAAATCAGCTAAAACAAATATTAACGGAAGAACTGCCTAGGGTGAGAGAATCCATTTACAGGATCTATTCTCAATTTTTTCCTATAAGAAAATGATTTCCAAGGCCGGGTGCGGTGGCTCAAGCTTGTAATCCCAGCACTTTGGGAGGCCGAGGAGGGTGGATCACGAGGTCAAGAGATCGAGACCATCCTGGTCAACATGGTGAAACCCCGTCTCTACTAAAAATACGAAAAATTAGCTGGGCATGGTGGTGCGTGCCTGTAATCCCAGCTACTCAGGAGGCTGAGGCAGGAGAATTGCCTGAACCCAGGAGGCGGAGGTTTCGGTGAGCCGAGATTGCACCATTGCACTCCAGCCTGGGTAACATGAGTGAAACTCCGTCTCA